GCCATACTTGAAGGTCATATATGTTCAGGGTCTATGTCTGCTTCATTGCTCTTTTAACATTCTTACTTTAAATATCTTGATATAAAATGAATATTGTTTCTATGGAGGCAAACTTCATGGCCAATTTTATTCATTGTGATGTAATTCTTCAACTTAATTAATTAATTTAATTTCTTTCATGTATGAGTGTGTATGTGTGTGTGTGCATGCCATAGTACATGTGTGAAGGTCCAATCTCTTCTGCCACTTTGTGGGATCTGAGGATTGAATTCAGTTTCAGGCCAGTGCTCATATGGTTCTGACTGCTGAGCAACTTCATCAGCCCTGTGCTGGAACTCATGACTCTCAGTTAGCAGGAGACTTCCACCAGATTGAGGAGGAAGAAGAGGAGGAGAAGGAGGAAGAAAAGGAAGAGGAGAAGGAGGAAGAGGAAGAAAAAGAGGAGGAGGAGCAAGAGGAAGAGGAAGAGAAGGAGAAGGAAGAGATCTTTTCTTCTCCCATGTCTTCTTAATTTTGTCTGTCTTTTTCTCCTACCTCAGTTTCTCCCTTGGTGACTTTGATTCCTTAATCTTAAGGGTTGATGATGGCTAATGATGCATTTTTTATAGCTACTTGCCTGCTAAGCAGGGGAATAGATCCTGCCTATTCAAGATGAGAAGTCTTGATTGTATGATCTAAGGGAAGTGGAAGATTAAAGAGTCATTATTTGAAGCATATCTAGAAGAAAGAATATCAGGACACTAGACTCCACAGGTAACAGAGCATTCAGAAGATTGAAGCACTCATCCTCAGATTAGCACCCACAGCAGCAGAGTCCTCTTTGCATGCAGTACCTAAAAACCATGAAGCCTAGCAAGTGAGGATTAACTCTGTTCTTGACTGTGATGACTCACGCTCTTAAGCTCTTGCACCATGGAATGGGACTCACACAAACCCATTTTCTCTCATATGTTGATTTTGTCAGGGCATTGCATCCTGGAACCAGGAGAAGAAACAAAGACACCCAGAAAAACATATTGCTAGATTTCCTCCTAAGGTTAGTATTAACCTTATAGTTTCAAATGTATCAAAATGTTGGAGGGACAGAACAACAAGAGACCTGGATGTCTTTACTCTAAATTCATCTGCTGTCCATATTTTGTTTATATTTACTTCTTTTTAAGCGAAACATTTGAATGAAAGTTATAGGAAGCATAGTATTTATCGCCTGGGAATTTTAGCCTGCATTTCCCAAGAATGAAAGCCGCATTCTTTCAACAATATCATTTCTATGCTTAAAAGATATTAAGAATAATTCTATAACATCATCTGAAAGCTTCATATTCAAATATCCCTTATTATTACTCTGAGGTCAAACTCAGAAACAGAGAAAGAAAACCTCAGTTGGAGGCTCAAGAAGGCATGGTCAGGGAAGGTCTCACTAACAGAGTGGCATTTGGTCCTGGCATGGAGATGAGAACTCACAGGATCCTTCCCTCTTCTATACTTCCTCCCCCAAGTTACTCTCTGATTAATTAATGTCGATAGAGCTTAGTGATTCTATAATCCAATTAGAACTTATAGATCACACATAGTTGTTATTTCTCTTGAGTTTTGGAGCAGTTTCAATTCATTATTATTTTATTTTTAATTTGAGTAGGTATCTTGACAGATTTTCTACTTCCTCTATGTGATTTGTGTCTTACGATTGGTTACAGGTTAAATATTTGGAGAAAAAAAAAAGGTGTTTAGATGCTGTTGTCAACTTCTCATCGTGTAATTTCAGGACACCTTAATGGTAGTTGTCCTATTATTTGGGAAACTATTGATCTTTGATCAGGTATGGAGAGATGACCACATCTCTCTGTAGAGTTACACATTCCTGTGTGTATGTATTAAGAAATCTGTGGGCAATCCTTTGAGGCGATTGACAAATCACCTCCAATCTTTCATATGACAGCGTAGCATCTGTTGGAGATCCTTTCCTAAACTGAACAAAACTTGAGGGTGAGAAAAGGGAATTTAATAACTATTTCACTTCTATTTCATCTAAAAGAGATGGAGCCTTTTCCCTTTCTGCTGACATTTCTCCTCCACATCTTTCTCCCCTCATCAATGCACACAGATCTTATGTTTGAGAACATGCATACGTGTGTAGGCACAGGTGTTTGTGGAGGTATGTTTGCATGTTGAATGTCTGTGGGTATGTATGTATGAGTGTAGGTTAAAGGTCAAATTCAGATATTACTGCTCAGAAACCATCCATCTCTTAAACATTACTATTCATTACTAGAGTTGTGTGTTTGTATGATGTGTGTATATGCCATGACAAACATGTGGGTGTCAGCTGGTATATATATATATATATATATATATATGCCAATAAATACTCTACTTCTATTTTGGTCACTCAACTCAGGTCCTCAGAATTTCTATTTGGAGAGCGATCTTGCCGGTCCCACCTTGTTTATTAAGATGGAGTTTCTCACTGGGACCTAGGGCCTACTGACTACAAGCTAGGGAGGCATCTATCTCTGCCTTCCTAGTGCTGGGAGCTCAAGTGTACTTCACCAGGGCCATGTTTGTTGCATGAATGCTGGGAATAGAACTCAGGTCCTTACACTTTTGTGGCAAGCAATGTAGCAATGAGGCCATCTCTTTAGGCCCACGATTTCTTTTTACATCTTTGCTTATAATCTATTATTGTCTTTATTCTTTCTTGATGTCACATTTCCCAGAATTTTGCCAGTGGATAATCTTACAAGCCAGTTCCTGAATCTTTTTGACATGACTTCAGTGCTCTCTGAGCATCTCCTTAGTTTCAGGCACACAGTGTACCAGGTTTATAAATTCCCTGTTTGAACCTATAATCAGCTGATGTCTCAAGTATTTAGCAGAGATGGTATATAGAAGCTAAGATCCAGATCACAGAGTGTGCTCACTGGTACAGGAAACTGGAGGAGAGACAAGCATTTCGGGTACTACATGATTTTAATGCATAAAGGTAGAAACACACTTACGCACGCATGCACACAGAGTTTTGCTTTTGTAGGTTTTTATTTTGTGTTTTTTTTTTCAGGCAGTGCTAAGAGTTAAAACTGGGTCATCACACATCTTAGGTAAATAGTTTATAACTTGAATTATATTCCCAACTTGATACATGCATCATTTAAGGTTTTCTTGCTAAGTAGTACTTCATTGATGGACATAACAAAATGTGTTCTTTCTGATCACCCAGTGAAGAACACCTTGATTATTTCTAATTATCTGTCCATGTAAGCATGACTATGATGATGTGTGTACAGTCTACGGGGTGAACAAACATGCCTCCTAGCTGGATATCTAGGAATGGAAAGGCTGGATGGTATGGTAGTTATGTGTTTAACTTCTTAAGAGATTATCAAGAGTTTCTCAAAGTATTTAGACAATTACATTCCTATCAGCAGAGAAGAAGTGGGGGGGGGAGAAAGAGGAAGGGAAGGAAGAAGGGAGGGAGGGAGGGAGGGAGGGAGGGGGGAAAGAGGGAGAGAGCGCTAGCTTTTTAGCTTTGCCAACCCTTCTTTTATCAAGCTTCTCTTTTTAATTTAAAAAATGCATTTATCTATTATTTAATCTCTCTCTCTCTCTCTCTCTCTCTCTCTCTCTCTCTCTCTCTCTCTCTCTCTCTCTTTGTGTCTCTCTCTGTGTGTGTGTCCGTGTGTCTGTGTTATAAATGCTGTTAACATGTGTGGAAGTCAGAAGACAACCTGGGGAATTCAGTTTACTCCTTCCATCACATGTGTTCTGGGGCTTGAACTCAGCTCACCAGACTTTGGAGCAAGCATCTTTTCGAATGGAGCCTCCTCCCTAGCCCTGATCAATTCTTTGCTGTTAGCCATTCTAATAACTATGTAGTAATACCTCATTTTGGTTTTAATGCAAATTGTGCTAAGGGCCAATGATGCTGAACATTTTCCCCTGTTACTTGGTATTAGCTTTTTGGTGAAATACATACTTAAATATTGTACTCACTTTTGTTTTGCTTAGTTTTTTTTATATTTTATTGTTAATATTGACATTGGGGAGTTCATACCCCTTGTGTTTGCTTGCACAGTTAAACATTGCCACAGTGATCAATCTCTTATCTTCCTCTTAAACAGAACTCTGGCCTCACGTTGCGCTATTTTATGTGTTGATGAAAGTTTTAGTTACATTTTATCTTCTTGAGTCCTTCTCACCCTCTCTCCTCTCTATCTCCCTGTCCCACCTACTCACCCCACACCCCGCCTTCCTATTCTCTTCCTTTGGGATCCAAGTCAGAAATGCTTGGCGGTTCTGCATAGCTAGATGGACCTTAGTCATTCATTCACACTTTCAATTTCTCTATCTCCCTATGCTGTCCAGTCAGGTCCACCTCTTCATTCCTGTATCACTCCTACAATAGCAAGACAGCTATTTGATGACGTTTAAGTTTTCATTTCAGTAACTGTTCTCCATCTGTAGAACTTCAACTTTTTCAAATGTGTGTGTGTGTGTGTGTGTGTGTGTGTGTGTGTGGTCTGTTCTTTTATTACTGCCTGAACCTTTTTTTTTCTTTTTTTGGCTTGCAATAAATCCACTAACTAGTTGTTTTCACATTGGATTCTTCTCCATCATCATCATCATGATCATTTGCTTTCATCAAACATTAGAACCTTTTGGTTCTGATCGTACATCTAATTCTTTCCTATGGAGAGCTGTTACCTCAGGTATTGTAACTTTTATTTGTTAGAATCAGATCTAGGGCTTCAGGCTTCCTAGGCAAATGCTCTGCCATGGAACCATGTCATAGGTCCTGTTTCCTCAGAGCTAGGTGACTCTTCTGTTGTGTACATCTGTCTTCTGTGGGTGTTACGTTCTCTGTGGTAACTCCATGTGTCCTGGTTGTGAAAATATCTCCTGTTTTGATTCTGGCAACAGCCCAGAGGTCCTGAGGTCAATGGTCCTGAGTCAAATAATTGTGCCTACTTATTACCTGTGGTTCTCATTCGTTCTCAATGCAGGTATCAAAGGCAGAAGGGTTGTGTTTGGGTGTCCCCACACCCTTGAAGACAGAAAGTCTAAGGGATGCAGGCTATGGTGCTAGTGCTTGTGCTTGACATGAAGATGCTGCTCTACCTACAGCAGACGGGAGCTGGACCAGAGTCCCCTTATAAAGCCTGAATCCTCCAAGAACTCTCTGTCATTCAGATGAAAACAGGAAGTTCTCATCCTCAAGAAGATGCATGCCCTTCCTAAAGTGGAGAGAGATTAAAATCCATGCTAAATCCAGCAGTGGACCTATACTTCACCTTTGCCACATTAAGCTGTCTAGAAGACATTCTTTGGTAAGCATAGAATGACAGGACTCCTTATGACTTGGTACCAGCAGCAAGACCTGTTCCTTGGCTTTACGACATAACCTGTGGCATATTTGCTAAAAGTGGACAGGTGTCAAAAGGGTGCCAGAAAGTGTTCATTCTTCTAGTCGTGCTCAATAACCTCGTCTAGACAGGGGTTCCTCCACAAACGCAGGATTGCAGAACAGGGGTGGGGAGTGTGGGATGAGGAAGCACCAGGGTAGATGCTAGCCATTCTGAAACATCTGTATGCTTGTACCTCTCTGGGGCTCTCACTCTGTCTCCCCTTTCTGAACTCTACCCTGCACTTCTTTGTTCTCAGCTGTGTGCATAAAAGTCTTTTTGGTCTGTCTTATCCAGCATTTATTTCTACAACTGAGACCAGGAGCTTGGGGGATGCATAGTCAGTTCATCTAGATGGTATTTCCTCTCCAACATACAGGAGGCAAAGGCAGGGATATCTGTGTGCTCAAGACTAGCCAGGTCTTCACTGTGAGGCCTGGTTCTTCTACCCCATAGCCCCTAAAATGACATTTTCTCATAAAGGAAACAGGTTGGAGTATTTATGTTAATCACCAATAACAGGCCTTTAAAAAGCTATTTAAAGCCGGTTTACAAAAGCTCTAAGGTCACATTTGCCACAACACAGACAAAATTAATACTTTTAATACTTTATTCACCTCAGCATTGTTTTTGTTTTTGTACAGGACAGAAGAAAAGTCAGTTTACATATTTTTTGGGGGGTGATGGGCTACATGAAAGAAAAACTTCTCAGTAACTTCATTGTGTCCTGTACTGACGTAAATAAAATAACCAAGTGTGTGTGTGTGTGTGCGACAGACAACATATTTAAACACATACAATAAATGCTCTTTGAATTTGGTCTCTTGTATCTTCTGTGGACCTGTTCATTCTCTTGGGCCTGTCTTAACTCATCGATATTTCTGTGGTGACAAAGTTCCAATTTCAGTGAGGTACACCATCATAGTGGGTTCCTTGAAGATATTTGACAATCCTCCTCCTTGGTCTCCTTGTTGGGTAGTGGGTGAATTGGCTGCTTGTTTGTTTCAGCAGTTGTTTACAGCTGTGAGAAAGCTTACCAGCCACCATTAAAAAGGCAAGGAAATCTGTCGTGAAGCAATCTTTTGTGTGTTTTGGAATAACTTACTTTCCTTCTATCCTGTACGAGAAAATCAAGGCTGAGTTGAATAAACTAGTAATTTGTCTGTGTTGTGGCAAATGTGACCTTGGGGCTTTTGTAAACTGGCTTTCATTAGTTTTGGTGTTGTTTTTGTTTTCCCGACTTGTTTTTCCCTAGCATTTAAAGAATTGCATTTCCATTTATCACTGCAAGAGGGAATAATCATTAAATACCACTTTGGTAGGCACGGGGAAGCATATTCTACCGCCCTCAACTATTTAAGGCAGCACAGTCCTTGACCCATTTCACAGATTAGCCAATTTGGCTTTCCAGACAGTCTTGGCAATTGAGTGGTGATTACACTCATCTTTAAACTCCGTATCTTATTCAAAGCCAGGTTGCAGATTTCTGCTTAGCGAGTTTGGAACACCACAAGATTCAAATGAACACAAAGATCTTTGAGTTGCACGAAGACCTAAATTATGCAAGCTGCAGAAATCCAGATACCGTATCTTTCATATAATTTGTACACACTGGGCTGGCAAAAATCTCTTCCATTGTAATTTGATTTCTTAATTGTTTCGTGCCATGTACTTACTTGCCCTTCTGGTGAATCCAAGGGATTAATTCACAAAATAGTATTTCAAAATATATAACAGAAAGAAAAGCTTATATATATATATATATATATTTCTAGCATCTGACCTCTGAGATTTTCAAGCATTTGTGTTCTGTCCCTCTCCCCAAATGTCTTCCAGAGACCTTCCACCTTCAGAGAGGTAGAGGGGTAGGGGTCTCACACAGATTTGAAGGGTGCGGAGGTGAGTATGGGATATGTGGCCCACCCCCAGAAGTTTCCTACTTCTTCAGCCCTTCCTTCTTTCCCAAGATAAGATCTAGATTTTTTTTCTAGTTTTTTTCTTTCCCATCTTCTGGTCCTTTGCTTAGTCCCGCCTGCCTTGAGACCTGGAACCTCCCCCGCAGCCTCCGCTCACCACCCCTGCCCTCCCACGTCCGACCTCCTCTACCAAGTCCCGCCTTCTCTCTTCCCTGCCAATCAGGTTGGGGTCACCTTGTGACTCCGCCCCCGATCTCTCTAAGGGCCAGTGGGTGACCTGCGCTTGGGGCGCTGTATTCCGGCTGCGGAAGGATGGCGGGGGCCGCAGGCAGCTTCGCGGACCAGCAGTTCCGGGAGGCTTGTGCGGAGCTCCAGCAGCCGGCATTGGCCGGGGCCGATTGGCAGCTCCTGGTGGAGTCCTCAGGCATAACCATCTACCGGCTGCTGGACCAGGTAGCAGCTGCTGACTCGCCCGCTGGAAGAGATCAGGGGCCTGGGGCCCTCGGTTAGGACTCCCCAAGGGTACTCCACTGCTCTGCAGCAATGACTAGGGTCCTCGGAGTTACTTTACCCTGTGTAGATCTTCTGTGGTTGGGAGGTTGTCCGAGATCAGCCTCAAGTCATTCTTGTTGCTGGACTTCTGAGTTGTTGTCTTTTATGTCTTACTCTGTAGCGTTTGCAAAAAATCAAACGTCCTGGGAGCAGGGAATTGCATTTAGTGGCTCGTGATTGAAGGTGGGGCAATGCCGGGCAGTGGTGGCGCACACCTTTTACCCTAGCACTTGGGAGGCAGAGGCAGGCTGATTTCTGAGTTCGAGTCCAGCCTGGCTTACAGAGTGAGTTCCAGGACAGCCAGGACTACACAGAGAAACCCTGTCTCGAAAAACCAAAAACCAAAAAAAAAAAAAAAAAAAAGATGGGGCAAGGTGCCAAAAGTATCCGGTCTAGGTCTGGACTTTTACTAGGAGTGGTTATAACGGGCCCAATACAGGATTCAAATATTGAGCTGGAGCGGTGTGTCTAAGGACATATGGGAGTGTGTGGTTATCTACATTCACAAGAGATAGGCATTTGGCAGCAATCAGCTGGTAGACAACAGAAAATGAATAGTTTGGAAGTTTAGCCCAACTTTAGTCCAATTTTTGTTAGGAGAATTAAAACATTGGTCACTTCATCCCTAGACTATGCTCTTGCCCGCAGAAAACACGGTTTCCTTCAGTCAGATGGTTGCTAGTGCTGTGTGGAGTGAGGAAGGGCCATGTCCTGAGGCAGGTAGGAAAGAGACAGGACTTAGGGACTGGATGTTCAGAGTTGGCCAAGAGTTGACAATAGCAATCCCATCAATTTAGTGACTGTCTTCTATGCGTTCTAACTTTAAGATGTATTTAATAATTCAGTTGTGAAATTTCATGCAGAAAGAGCAATGGAAGTTGGAGGAGGAGTGGAGTTGGTTAAGCATCTTGAAGCATCTTAAGAAGCCTTACCAAGTAGCTACCTAGGTGGGAGAAACTGGAGGTTTGGCATCAGTTGCTTTGCTGTAGGCAACTGAAGTTCCCTGGTATAGGACCACAGTGGTATAGCAAAGGAATCCGGATACTGATCTATTATGGTAGCCTTGGATTTCACAGGTGAAGGAAGCAGACCAGGAGGGGTGAAGTAACTGTGTCACAGAGGCACAGGGAAGTTCAGGACAGATGCAGTTGGAGGGTTCACAACCTAGTACAAGACATTTGTGGATCAAGTGGAATTGTGTGAAGGTGGATGACGCTTCTAGTCAGAGGCGGAGGTGGACTCTTGTCAGCTGAGGTCACCTGAGCTTCGTTCGTGAGATCAAAGTGCAGCCCGGATCGATGTCGTTTCAGCCCTCTGGAGCTAGGGATACTTCGTGCGGTCAGCAATAGTAAATTCTACTGTATGCCTCTGCCATGTCAGGGACAGGAACTTACTGATGATAATTATCAGCCTGGCAGATGGCTTTGTGTCATGTGCCACTTAAACGTCAGTGCACATAAAGAACCTCTAGCTGCCGTTTTTGTCTTTTCGCTAATTGTGCTCACGTGCATCCACGGGTGTGTGCTTTTTACCCTGTTCATGGTTTGCTAAGGTTGGCAGTTAATCATTGCAAGGTGAATAAGAGACCACATGCCACACACAGCACACAGAACCAACATCCTATTGAGACTAACGACTCCATTGTGGAAGTGGACAGGACACTTTCAGGCACACTCCTTTTGCTCTCTGAGATCCTGCACTTTCCCTGCTGGCCATATAACCAGGCACTGGCTGAGTTGTGTACCAGTCATCAGAACTCCATCCCTCCCCTTTCTCTTCCGTTTTGAGGTTGGCTTCTCAGCACCTCTCACCTCGTATTTCTTCATCTTTATAACTGGTCCCTTGGCCTTCTCCTTCTCACGGTCCCGTGTCCCACATGTTCAGCACCTGAAAGCAAGTTTGTGATCTTATCGATGTCCTTTTCATGTCATCCTTAGTCACAGAATTACTACCAGCCATTGTGATAGCTAACACTTGCAGCATATTGTCTTATAACCTGGGTACCGGATACTTGACAGATATTGATGCACTCTATTCTAATGTCAGCCCTAGGATAGATGCTATCAATCATCACCTTTTTACTCATTTGGAAAGGAGCATGTAGAGGAAATGAGTTGGTTGGTTCGAGATTATTATCAGCCTCTGAACCCAGCTATCTGGTCCCATACTCGTTTCTTAAACCCTTTATCTATCTGGACAGAAAGCACAGGTAGGATGGGATGCTAAGTCTCAGCTCACCTTTTCCAGCAGCGTCTTCCCATCCCCTTGGATGTAGACCATCCTCTGTACATGAATATAAAGACATCTCAGTTCTAGGAAGGTACATGATGTGTCCAAGGCTTGGGATTAAGAGGTGTTACCAGAGTAACACTCAGGCTTTCTGTCCATGAAGCCCCTTCTCTATGCTACCTCCTGCATCATACTTTGGGAGAGCATCCGGACTGTGGAATGAATTAT